GGGGGGGGGGGGGGATTTAATATGGGTGTGTATTGGTATATGTGTATTTGTATCGATTGTTATTCTATTAATATATCTGACATTATTACGTTCAAGAAATTGTGTATGCATGTGTGTGTATGTGTACGTACGTGTATGTGTTGGGTGGGTTAGGATAGGTTACGCACACGTACGCACTCACACAAACACATTTTTTGGAGGTAATAATGTCAGAAATACTAATAGAATAACTCGATACAAATACATACATATCAATACATACCCATATTACACCTCCTCTCCTTCCGCACCACAAACATACACTGACACATGCATCTATTCAATAATGGACTCATGTATGGTTATAATATATAAATGCCTATACAGTTAAAAGCAATCTATGTACTGTAAAGGTTCGGTTACGTTAGACATAAAATAGTAACTTTTTAATCGCGCTAGAAAAAAAACTGTCCATTTTTTCACACTTTTTGTTGAATATTTTTGACCTTATAAGCCACAAAATATTATAGTTTTAGTCAATTCGACAGAAACTACTTTTCATATAATTAGTGCGGAGTCATTTTTATTGGATATCTTCCCTCGAAGATTGTCAAAAATGACTTCTCTTGCGTTCAATAGCCTTTCAACGTCTCGCGACATCTTTATGGCATGATTAACTTCAAGATAATTGAATTAAAAGTTAATAGATACCAATAAAATATAACTAGGTTAAGTTAAAAGTTAAGAGTGTAAAAATGTAACTAAGTTAAATTAAAGCCATTTAACTTTTTAACTTTTTAACTTAACTTTTAACTTTTTAACTAGTTACTATCCGACCCTGGATATTACTTCTTTTGTAGAAAATAGACTTTTAAACAACAATATTCCTCATTAATATTCTTTCATGTTGTTTTACAAATAAAATGTTTTAGAAACATTAATTATAGCTATAATATATTATGTAATAGATTTACTATTGTGTTATTACAAGAGTTATGTTTTGAAATAATGCTAACATGCATATTAATAATAATATTAATTTCATTTTTATCAGTTTGTAGCCAGAAAGTTTTATCGCATTTTATCGATAAGCATAAACTACATAAACATACATATACATGTATACAATGCCTATATACAGTGCTTGTTTATACTAAACTAGGCGAGCGATTCTATGTTATATAATCAATATTAATAGATTCTGTGTTATAGGGACTTCTAACCTATCTATGTGATATCACTTTTTTGTGGAAAATAGTATTTTAAACAATATTCGTCTTTAATATATTTGTTAATCTTGTGTTGTTTTACAAATAAAATATTATTTATAAAAACATTAATTTTAGTACAATTCCACTCGCAGGTAAACGCGTGAACTTGGCGCATGTTTTCATTTTTTTTATATAAAGGTAGATTTGTTTGGATCACAATCACGAGATATACTCGCGGTTCAAAATAGACTAGTACATGACAAAAATTCTGTGTCTGATATTTTTTTCGCCTACGATAACGGATACTTTATTTGTAATATTAATATATTACGTTATAATATATTATAACATTATTGTTGAAAATAAATTTGGAAAAATGGTTCATTAGTAATTTGACAACTTTTGAATTTTCTGTGCTTTCTGAGATCAATATTCACAGATGAACATTATTAATCGAATTTCTTCGTCATTCAAAGTATACACCCTTACGTAAAAAAGCTATAATAAAATACTACTCAGAGCAATATATAAAAATTATTGAAGAACTATAGAAATATATTGGAATACTATCGAATACTTATAACAACACTATTGAAAAATTATAGAAAACCTATTCGTTAATTTTATAAATAGTTTTAATATAAATTTTCAATAGTTAAAACAGTAATATTTTAGTAACTCTACGTAATCTTATCAGAGTTATTCAGGATAAAATCAGTAGCATCATCAAGCATCCTCTTGAAACCCCATTAATTTTGTTTGCAACATGTTTCAATGAAACTCTTGGTTTTCGAAAAATTTCCATGCGTAATTCAAAATGAGGCATCCTGTATATACATGTGTGTATGCGCGTGTGTACGTATAAAAGCAACATGCTGTTTTGGAATACTTTCATACATTTGATGTACTCGTTTACCACTATCAACATATTTTGATTAAAAGACTATAACAACAATAGGACTATAACAACAAAAAAGAAAGAGAGAGCAGTTAAATAAGTTCTTTATTAAAAATATGCATAATTCATAAAAATAGATTATATATTATAAAAATGTTTATAAATAATGAGGGCAATATATTGTTTGTATTTTTTACAATAATGCAAGTCATATGGGAGTCACATAAGAGAGCTTCAAATCGTTTAAAATGGTTTTTATGAAGGATGTAAATTACGATATACAGTTACATGCGAATTACGAAAACCTATACAGTCAGTGTGCAACAGTCTGCATGGATAAAAGGACTTAAAAATGTTTGGTGCATTATATAGAGGATCTATATTTATAATCTTTCGAATGTTACTTATGTTCTCTTCCGCTATAGATTGCGATCCGGCTGTTAGAATATATGGACAGTTCATACGCTGCGGTGTTAATAAGCTATCTTCTTGCCAGGTGTTTGTTGTATCAAAATGTGCTTGAAATATTATGATCACATTTGGTCGCTGAAACGTCGGATCAGTCGTATACTCTTGGTAAGATCCAGGACGACATACGATAT